TTATTCTGTAGTCGGCAATGATGGCCATTTGTGGAGATGTGAATCCAGTTCATTTGAGGGAACCCCCAAGGTTCTCTGGTTGTGGCCTCTCGAATAAACCTCACATTTGGACAGTTTGTTACCAAATTGGGTTCTGGATGTTGGGTTCCCTTCAGTGTTGGGGGTGGGAGGGAGGGGTCACACCCGCAGAGGCCCCCACCCCCACCAGCACCAGTGTGGCTGCCACCTGCAGTGCTGATGGCCATGCACCTTATCTTTCCAGGTTGGTGCTGAGGACATGGACGGCTTCCAGGCAGACACAGAGGAGGAGGAAGAGGAGGAGGGCGAGTGTATGATCGTGGACGTCCCGGACGCTTCGGGTGAGAAGGGCTCTAGATAGCAGAACGCACTGGTGAGGTGGGTGGGGGAGGTAAACCTCAACAGGGAAGGGATGGCGCCGCCTAAGACTCGCTCCATTGTGAGCTGCCAGGAGGGTTTGCAGCTGGAAGTGGCCCCTACCCTGCCACGTCCTCTGCCACTTGGGCAGAGCCACAAGCGCCTGTGCTGGGAGTCTCAGGTGGCGGGACGTTAGATGGGGGTCAGGGAAGACTGCACTGAGGCGGCAAGGGAGGGCCCGGTGGATTTCTGGAGGACTCCCCAAAGAGGAAGTGCAGAGGCCTTGCAGCAGGCTGTGCGGGAGCAGTGTGCCCAGGTGGTGGGGGCAGGGTCAGCCTGAGAGCAGGTGAGCAGGTCACCTCTAGAAGGGGCACAATGCCCCAGCTTCCGCCTGCCCCCACTGTGAGGTGAAGGGTTCTGCCCTGGGGCCGTTGCAGGCCCCATGAGGCAGCAGGGTGGGGTCCTCCCCCAGGGAGCCCAGCAGGCACAGCCAGCTCAAGACCTTCCCTTTCTTGCCCTGCAGAGGTCCAAGCCCCGTGTGGAGCCGCTTCTGGAGCTGGGGGTGGTGTCGGGGTGGACACTGGCAAGGCCACCCTGCCTGCGAGCCCACTGGGCGCGTCTTGAGAGCAGTGGTGACATACGTAGAACGCTTAGGGTGTCCTCCCCACGGAGCAGATACTTGAACCGACTCGATTCCTGTGTAAAGAGCACTTTGTCCTGCTTCACGGACCTCCCCAAGGTGTGCAGAGTTCTATATAGGATGCTGGATTAGTTCCTTTGATATTTGTAAAAATTCCCCCAAGAGCTGCATATGAATCTGCCCTTTAATAAAGCATTATTGAGATTGCTGGCCTATCGGGGAAGCCTGCAGGCACAGGAGCAGGCGTGGAATCCAGTACTTGTAAATGAATTGAAGCGCCAGGACCACCCACCTGGCCATGTGCACGGGCCCCGTGTATAAACGAGGCAGTGTATAAAGAGGCAGTGTATAAACTTATTCTCTAGCACTGGGCTGCTCTGTCTTTTCTGAGAACATCGTGTTTCTCTCAGAGTGCGTCGTGTCTGGGGCCAGCCTTGTGCCCTGCAACAGCGCTGTCCCATCTGTTTGACGCTGTCATCCTCATACCAGGCTGACCTGGGTCAAGGTGCAGGTTTTCCGCATGTGCTTCTGTCCAGCAATCCCTCCTGCCCTGGGTTGGGGGGTTAGGAGGGGGTGTTCCCAGGGACCTGCTGGGGTCTCCTTCCTCAAACCAGAGCTGCTGGGAGCTGAGTTTGGCTTGGAGTCTGAGACTTCGTGAGAGCCCACCCCTAGGTCGGGTGCATCTTTTGTGAGTGCTGGAGCTAGGAGGTGACCTCCTCCCTGCCCCACGTTGAGTGGGCTTTATCCCCACTGTCCCCGAGGGAGGACTCTGTGGTGCTGAGCAGCTCAGAGCACACGCAGCCATGGGGAGGGTCACGCTCGCCAGCCCTGCTCCTGGCCACACCCCACCTGAAATCTAAGCTTCCCTTCAGGGAACCCCATGTGGGAAAGGTGTCAGCTACCTCCATCCACCCAGTCAGGGACGGCAGGAGGCCCCGGCCAGGCTTTCCTGCTGGGAAGCAGGATTCGGCTGTGCATGAGGCAGAGGCTGCCCCTGTGCCACACCTTCGACGAGCTTTAGAGGGGCTCCCGACATCCCAGAGTCAGGGGTTCCTGACAACCTGGAGTCAGGTCCTGGGGCCTGCAGGGACGCAAGACTGGAGTGACAGCCTTCATTCTCAACAGGCCGGGTGCCCACACCAGCTAGGGCAGTATCAGGGGCGAGGGAGGGACCAATGCAAGGTCAGGGGCATGAGCATAGGCCCTGGGCACCTCCCCCAGGTGCAGACCTGCATCCCCAAGTCAGCAGTGGGCCCGGGGCACGCATGCCTTCCACACTGCAGGGCGGAGTCCCTGTGTCTCCTGGGGCTGCCACACCGCAAACCTCCTGGTTTAAAGCAACAGTCACCATCTCACAGCCTGGGGGTCAGAGTGCACGCGTGCCTCACCAGGCTGACATCAAGCTGTGGGCAGGAGGACCAGGCCCTCCTGAGACTTTCCCAGTACTCAGAGGCACTGCATCCCTCAGCTCAGGGCCCCTTCCTCCACCTTCACAGCCACAGTGCAGCCTCTTCCAGTCTCTCTCTGACCTCTGCCTCACCCTCCTGCCACCTCTTGTGAGGACACTGGGTCCTGGACCACCCAGGATCATCTCAGCTCAAGACCTTTCATCATACAATCCAAGCCCCTCTTGCCAGGTGAAGTCGCGCATCTGCAGGTTCCAGGAAGAGCATGTGGCTATCTCAGGACGCCCTGTCCCTCTGGCTACAGGGAAGCCAGGCCTGTGACAGCACTCGCCTCCCAAGCTGGGAGAGGCCCACGGGGACTGGGCCTTTGTGGGCACAGCACAGCCTCCCCTAGCGCACGGGATTTCCTCCCCAGGCAAGTGCTTGTGGCCAGGCATTGGCCAGAGAGCAGGTATCCGCCTGGTGCCGCCTTGACAGGGAGCCATGTCCAGCCCCCGTGCCGCCTGCTCTGTAGCAGGTGAGCCTGCCCTGTGTCCCATGGTTTCAATGGAGCACCAAAAAACTACATTCAAACACCCTGTTTATTTGGGCTTATGATTTACTAACTGCAGGTCTGTGTGCGGGAAGGCCAGCGTCCCCTCCTGCCGTCGTCACCCACATCCACAGAGCAGCCCTAGCGCCAGGTGCAGCCGCTGCCACCCACAGCACACGGGAACGGGACTCGTGCTGCAGGCCTGCTCTCCTGCCCACGGAGATGCCACGTGTGTCTGCATGGCAGCTTCATGACACAGTTACCAGCAGCTAGGGAGGGCTTAGATTTGATGGCGTCCCCAGGCCTCTCGGGGGCTTGGGCGCATCTCCACAGCCCCCAGGAGATGGGGGCTCTGCCACGGGGCCCAGTTCCACAGCTCCACAGCTAGCTGGCGCCCCTCCCGTGCCCATGGGGCAGAGCCAAGTATTTCCAGAGGTGGCTTGGAGGCCCTGGGGGTGGCGGGGAGGGGAACAGGGAGAGCATGAGACAGACCCACAGGGCTGAGGCCAACCCTGCTTTTATTTCAAGAGAGCTTCTCGATGGCCGACAGGAGCTCAGGTTTCAGGATGGCGTCCGGCTCGACCCCCGCAGCCTTGATGTCCTCCAGCACAGCCATGTCCCACGAGAAGGTCAGGAGGGCAGAGGGCACCTGCGGTGGGGGCAGGCTGTCATTCTGTCTCCATGTGGCCATGCAGTGGAAGGACAGAGCCGAGCACAGTCGGCCCTTCCCGCCGCGGGAAACTCAGCGGGCAAGCTGGGCTCGGGGATACCCTGGCCTGGAAGCCATCTCAGCTGGTGGAGGCTGTGGCTCACACCCCGGCCTCCTGCCCTCTCCCTCCGGGACTCCCGGAACCTAAGCCTAAACTTACTGCACTAGCTAACACGCGTCACTGCTCCCATTTGACAGGGGAAACTGAGGT